GTCGTATGGATGCACATTAGTGACTGCTCAAGTTCTAAAACCTGGAGCTCAAGATTGTGCAGCTGGCGAAACTCCTGCATATGTGTTTATCTGGCACAGATGGTATGTCCATGACTTCAAACATACAGCAGGACACATACCTCTTGGCCTTTCAAACCCACCATCCCGTAAATCTAAAAACTATTTGTTACCCTTCAGAAAAAGTATGAACTTACTATGAAAACTTAACAAGCTATTTCTTAGAAAAGGACAGAAAAAAAGACTGAGACTGAGACAAGTTAAATACCCAACTTTCACTTTGAACATTAGAAATACTGACCAAACTTATGCAGCAGACAACTGCTTTTGCTGCTCTTGTGACATCACGTTGCTGTCGCTGAGCAGGAACAGGGCATGTTGGCTCTTAATTTAGTCTGCCAAAGCAAACTAGTTGGTATTTGGAGATATGCAGTCAATGTTATCAGCTTCAATATGAGAAAAGTATAAAACCTTTATTTGTAATCAAATTGGGGAGAAAATGCCTCAGCATGACAGATGTGTGTTCTCCCCACATATGCTTGAATAAACCAGTGAAACTGGGGATGGCATATTGAATGGTCAGTGAAAGAATAGGAAGACATTCAAACTGTGGTGAATCTCTCCTCATCACTACATGTTATGCTTACTGTTTCTTAGGTGATCTTTTATTCTGATGTCATTTATTAAACCCGCTTCATTACACGTCACCAGATCTAAAATAGAGTGATCCCTAGTTGGATTCACAAAATATTATTCTGGAAAACTATCTCAAATACACTATGAATTCTTCCTTATCTCAATCTGACTAACCCAATCTACATGAAGATTAAAGTCTCCCATGATAATGTACTACTTTTTTTACATGCCCTCATTATTTACTGATTAATTCTCCATGTCACCATATAACTACTGTTAGGAGGCCTATAGGTCACACGTTCCTGTTCTTCCCCTTTTTTATTTCATACCTCCAACCAGATTGGTTCTACATTTTCTAATCCAAGATCATTTCTTGCTATCATACTTATTTCATGCTGCACCAATACTACACCACCACCCTTTCCTTCCTGCTTGTCCTGTTAGAAAGTCACAAGCCCCTGAATATTTTGTTCCCAGCTTTGATCTCATTGTAACCATGTCTCTGTAATGGCTATAAAATCACACCCATTAACCTCTATTTGTGCCAGTAATTCATTTATTATAAAAACCAAAAGAACTGCGGATGCTGTAAATGAGAAACAAAAACAAAGTTGCTGGAAAAGCTCAGCAGGTCTGGCAGCATCTGTGAAGGAAAAGACATAGTTAACATTTCAGGTCCGGTGACTCTTCCTCAGAACTGTGTATGTAATTAATTTATTTTATTTTATTTGGAATATTCTGTGCATTAAAGAGCCCCATTTGACCCTATTTACTGCTGTTTTTCTATGTTTGTACAATCTACCTCTTCCTGTCCCAGTCTGGGTATCATCATCCAAAAAGCTGCCTCTAATGCTGTCACATCCTCTTGCTTTATAAGCCTACGTTTCCCTCTCCCAAACCCTCCCCTCACAAGTTAGTTTAAATCCTGCCTTTGCTAATGCCACCATATCCTATGAATGAATTTTAAAAGACGATTTGTGGGGGTGTACTCAATGAGGCACGGGTACTTTTAAGAGTGTGTTGAAGAGTTAGCTGACGTGAGGTGGAAGCTCTTATGGAGTACAAGCACTGGCATGGTTGGGCTAAATAGATTGTAGCTTTGTGGCAGATTCTATATTTGCTATGTAACCACTGTTGCCACTGAATCCTTTTCTTTGAGGGCACTATAGGGCTTAGACAGTCAACATCCATAGTCACATGATATTTTCAGTTTTGCTTGTATCATTTTGCTCTACTGTAAATGGTTATAATTGTTTATTATTAATGATGCCTTGGGGCATGAGCTTTTATAACTCACGTCCCTAATTGGAAACACTGGGGACTGTACTCCTGAGGTACAGGAACTTGTACTTAAACAGCAATTTTAATATAGTGAAACATCCTTAAGGCAAAGTGTTGTCATTGCACCTCATAAACAATTAATGAGAGACGCAAGCAAAAGCTTAACAAAGAACTAGGTTTCAAATGATGTCTTGAAGGAGGAAGAAGAGATGGAGAACATAAGAACATAAGAACTAGGAGCAGGAGTAGGCCATCCGGCCCCTCGAGCCTGCCCCGCCATTTAATAAGATCATGGCTGATCTTTAAGACTCAGCTCCACTTACCCGCCCACTCACCATAACCCTTAATTCCTTTACTGTTCAAAAATTTATCCATCCTTGCCTTAAAAACATTCAGTGAGGTAGCTTCAACCACTTCACTGGGCAGGGAATTCCACAGATTCACATCCCTTTGGGTGAAGACGTTCCTCCTGACCTCAGTCCTACATCTGCTTCCCTTTCTTTTGAGGCAATGCCCTCTAGTCCTAGTTTCACCTGCTAGCGGAAACAACCTCCCTGCCTCCATCTTATCTATTCCCTTCATAATCTTATATGTTTCTATAAGATCTCCCCTCATTCTTCTGAATTCCAATGAGTATAATCCCAGTCTACTCAGTCTCTCCTCATAATCCAACTCTCTCAACTCTGGAATCAACCGAGTGAATCTCCTCTGCACCCCCTCCAGTGCTAGTATATCTCTTCTCAAGTAAGGAGACCAAAACTGCACACTGTACTCCAGGTGTGGCCTCACCAGGACCCTATACAGTTGCAGCATAGCCTCCCTGTTTTTAAACTCAATCCCACGAGCAATGGCAGACAAAATTCCATTTGCCTTTTTAATCACCTGCTGCACCTGCAATCCCACCTTCAGCAATTCATGCTCAAGGACACCCAAGTCCCTTTGCACAGCAGCATGCTGCAATTTTTTACCATTTAAAACATAGTCCATTTTCCTGTTATTCCTACCAAAATGGATGACCTCACACTTATCAACATTGTACTCCATCTGCCAGACCTTTGTCCACTCACTTAGACTATCTATATCCCTCTGCAGACTTTCAGTGTCTTCAGCACACTTTGCTCTACTACTCACCTTAGTGTCACCTGCAAATTTTGACACACCACACTTAGTCCCCAACTCCAAATCATCTATGTAAATTGTAAACAACTGAGGTCCCAACACTGATCTCTGAGGCACACCACTAACCACTGACCGCCAACCAGAAAAACACCCATTTACCCCTACTCTTTGCTTTCTACTGGTCAACCAATCCTCTATCCATGCCAATACATTACCTGTAATACCGTGCAACTTTACCTTATGTAGCAGCCTTTGGTGTGGCACCTTGTCAAATGCCTTCTGGAAATCCAGATACACCACATCCGCAGGTTCCCCATTGTCCACCATGCAAGTAATGTCCTCAAAGCATTCCACCAAATTAGTTAAACATGACCTACCCTTCATGAACCCATGCTGGGTGTTCCCAACAGGACAATTTACATCCAGATGACTTGCTATTGCAGACATTTAGAGACAGAATATTCTGAAGCTTAAAGATGAGGCAGCTGATGGCACGACTGCCAATGCCAGAGTGACTCAAACCAAAGATTAATATCAAGGATGCCCCAGAGAACAAACTTAGCTGAATATTAAGACATGGGCAGAGGGTTTTGGATGACTTCAAGTTTACGGAGGATTGAAAACGGGAGGCCAGGCAGAATATTGTGGCAATAGGCAGGTTTGCCTATTGGGCAAGGGATAGATGAGGCTTTCAGCAGGGTCAGTGGGTGTGTCTGGATGGGACGCTCTTCAGAGGGCTGGTGTGGACTTGATGGGCCAAATGGCCTGCTTCCACATGGTAGAGAAAAAAATAACCTGAACAGCGTTATGGAGGAAGATAGGCAATGCTCGCAGAGATGATGTAAATATGTATACACAAAAAATATACTTAGCACATCTTAATTCTAGGTGTTGGAAATATGTTGTATATTTACTATAGATTGTATTACTATTTTAACATTCTGTAGTACAGCTTATTGTTGTTTGTTCAAACCTGTGGAACCTTGTGGCTTTACTCTCTTAATAACTCGCTTGGAACTCACCTTTTGCTTACTTTAAAAGTAAAGATTACTCGTCTTTAATCAGACTATAACATCCTTGGTCTGGGTTCATAACAAAATGGAAATTCTATGGGGATTTGGAGAATTTTGGTGACGGAACAGAATTGATGATAAGGGAGTGGAGTTTTTGGTGACAAACTGGATATTTTTGGTGAGGGTGTGGAAGTTGTGATGGGGTGGAGGTTTTGGTGATAGAGATTTTGGTGAGGGAATGGATGCTGTGGTCAGAAAGTGGGGTTGATGGTGAGGAAGAGAATGTTTCTGGAGAGAGGGTGGAGATTTGATGGGGGTGGGGGGGGTGAAGATTTTGGTGAGGGATGGAATTTTTGATGATGAAATGGGCATTCTGGTGATGGAGTGGATATTTTGCTGAGGTTGAAGTTTTTGGTCAGGAACTGTAGATTTTGCTGGAGGGAGTTGGATGTTCCTTGCGCTGGAGTGGAGATTTTTTTTCAGTAAGTGACCATTTTTGATTAGGGTGGATGTCTGTGATGTAGGGGTGGAGAACTTGCTCAGTGAGTTGAGGTTTTGCTGAGGGAGTGAATATTTTACTGACTGAGAGATGGTGTTGCCGACCGATTTCAGGTTTCGCTGAGTGAGGAAGGCTTTGTTAAGTGACAGTTCTGTTCAGGGAGAGGAAGATTTGCTGAGGGAGTGAGGTTTTGCTCAGTTATGTCTACGGCCCACACAACATAAACTTGCCTCTTTCCCCTGCAGGGCGGAGCCAGCAGTTGATTGACAGCCCTACTGCTCGTGGTCGCAGCCAATCGGCGTGTCAGGAATTGTGGGCGTGGCACATCAAGGAGATAGACGTGGAAGCTGCCCAATTATAGCCGCACTTGCCGCCGCGGGGCACCGATTGACGTGGGATCTAGCCACTCACTGCGCAGAGACCCGGGCAACGTCTCCGCCCGTCTACCAATGACGAGGGAGAAGGCGGTGTTTGAGGCGGGTCTAATGCGGAGGGCGGAGGGCGTGCGGAGAGCGGGTCCTGGGCGGTAACGGCCGGAGAGAGGGCGAAGGTGAGGGGGAGCCGGGAAACAGGCATGGTGGGGGTGGACGGGAGTGAGGTTCCCGGGCTCCGTGGGGATGCTCCAGTACCGGGGCCGAGGTTGTTGTTGGAAGGCGGGTGGGAAACAGCTGGAACCCGAGGCCTGTCCGAGAGAGAGAGAGCGCGCGACCCAGAACATCTTCCCCACCTGTCCCCCAACACGCACTTCTTTCCCCCAACACGCACTTCTTTCCCCCAACACGCACTTCTTTCCCCCTACCCCATCCTCTCCCTATCCACTCCCCCCCCCCCCAAGCCCCTATCCACTTCCCTTCCCCCAGCCCCTATCCACTTCCGCCTCCC